TCGTGTCAGACTCTCTGGTTTTCCTTTCGAGCTATACTCTCCAAGGTGAAATTGTGATCCCGACGAGCTAATACCGTTTTTAGTATTAGAGCTAATACACCCAGTTATTACTATTAGTGCTAATAATTTTTGGTAATAGGTAAATGAAACTTTTGTAGTTAAAGTTAACCTCTTTATGTTACAACTGTCATACAAAAATTGTCAACTAATGGGACTTGACAATTCATATAAAGTTGACCTTTGGTTGTTTTTTACGTTAAATTTTTTTTTTTTTTTATTTTATCAAAATAAAGCATGCAACAAAAGGCATTAGCAACGTTCGGTATTAGCATTAAGGTTAAATTCTATATGCTAATTAACTCGTGGGATGAAATGTGTGAAATTAACTCAAACAACCTACATAAACACTCCTGACTCCCTAAGGATTAAGACAAGACGAATGGTCCTCTACAAACCACTTTGTGTCGGACAGGGAAATAGTGAGGTGAGTGAGGAGGTGACAAAGGAGGAGTTTGTCGATCTAGTAAGGGAGGCAATTCAGCTCCGTTTTGAGACATCCAAAGAAATTCACAGGAAGTTACATTTCCGTGAAAACACAAAACAAATTAACTTAAATACTGGATTTTAAACTTAAAGGAACACTACGAAAAGTCAGGTATTAACTGAAGTACGTCGAAGTTGTCAAAATTGAGTAATTTTTTCCTCTTAAAACGCCGTAATTTTCTTGAGCAAGTATATTATTGTTATAGTCTTTCGAAATTGTCACGAAACAATGTCGCCAGATCAGTGTGGAGTTAATAAACTAAATTTAGTAGGCATCTAATAATAAACATCATATTTAATATAAAGATAGGAACAATTCAAAGGTTATTGAAAATTCAACTTATTTACACACACACACCACACACACACACACACACACACACACACACACACACACACACACACACACACACACACACACACCACACACACACACACACACACACAACCCCACACACACACACACACACCACACACCACACACCACACACACACCA